GGTTGCCTGGCTTGACTACTGCTGCAATACTTTTCTAGGGGTTAATCTCCAAACCCTAACAGTCCGTGGCCGTGTCTCATCATCTGTGTGGGTGTGAGTCTGCTTTCTACGTGGAGGTGTTGTGGTAGCATATATATATATATGTTTTCTGAGGTATTCACGGGTATTTGTATGTAGATCTTTGGTTATTCGGGTTTTCTCCCACGTAAAATTGGAAGTATCTTGGCGATGTTTCGACGAAATCTCATTCCTCATCTTCAGGCTTGTGTCTTCGGCTTTGTGCTTCTCGGAGTAATGTGAGCTTTTGGAAACCCGCCCTCACTAACAAACGAGTACTTAACATGAAGAATGACACCAGACCCACACCCACGAGGGCCACACAAGATGCTACCACCACACCTCCACGTAGAAAGCAGACTCACACCCACTCTCAAAGTGGTTTGCTTATTTTTTTCAAAGTTATTCTGAATATTTGAAATCAATATATTTTTTCTTCTGAAAGGATGAGCTTTTTTTCCTTTTGTTTAATCAAACGTATATGCTGAAATAATATTTGCTTAATATTTTGTTTATCTGAGCCCATTTTAAACTATTCAAGTTCTTTACACTTTTCTCTTCCCCCTCTTGTGGCCAGAGAGATGGCTGCAGAACAGAACATCCTAAGAAACCTCTAGAATTCATAAATGCTATTTTACTGGGGGAAAAAATCAATCTAAAAATATTCCAAGTCACAAGGCATACATTATTCAGAATTTCATATCTGTAAATAAATGGATATGTGAAACAAGTGTTATGTACACAGTCTGCTTGTATTGATAACGGTTGGCTTTCAACCAAACAAAAGCAAAAATAAAAATAAAAAATGCAAGTCTGAGCTATTGGAACTTTAAAAAAAAAGACTTTGGAGCCCAGGTCTGAATTTTGTTTACAGTCTACTGTACAACATGGCATACATTCAGAGAAGTAAGATGGAACAATGACAAAATCACCACTATTTCTTTTAAAAAGAATTGGAAAGGGATAATGATTTAATAATGTGAGTGAATCTGACCTTGGTAGATTCCACAAGTCAAGATAAATCTGGAAGTTTGTGCTCTTGAGAGAACATCAAACATGAGAGAGAACATTTCAAGGGAAATTTTGAATGAAAAGTGGGTTAGAAGCCTTATAAATAAATACCACAAAGAAAAATGCATCCTTCAGTTGTTACCACTTTCTGTATAAAGAAAATTCTGAACAACTCCAGTTCCTGTTTTGAAACTAATGAAACCAAGGGAGGGGAGGTGGAAAATTTTTTACAGGTTGCAAGGAGAAACCTATACTTTTTTCTCATAGCATTATTTGTGCCTTTGCTGAAATCCCTTTCTTGAACAAAGATTTGGAAAAGAATATAGCTTAGAAGAAGGAACATAGTTGTTGCATATTGTATTCTCATGGATTCTAGTGTACATTTCTTTTTATATTATTTCTCTTTTTTCTGTTATGTTTACTCCTTCTTTCTTTATTCTGAATATTAAAACTCTGTTGCTTTCTTCAAATTCCATGAAAATTGACTGAAGAGCGTGGCACCATTTCCACCAATACCTTCTTCCAGCTTATTTTTCAAGTTTCACTCTTCAACTTCTTGGATCTAGATCTCAAGCCAGTAAGATCTATCAATGATGGTGATAGCCACAGTGCTTGCTCAAGGTCTTCTGGTCAGCATCACTATTATTAATAGCTGAATTTGCAACTCACATGCCCGTCACACTGTCAATTCTGTCATCTCAACACAGAATCAATGCAGCTTGATCTTGATGCTCAACAATTGATCAAACTTCATCTACAAGTCCTTCAGTTTTTCCATAGAGGCTATACAGTCCACAAACACATGCCATTTGCAGCTACATCTTTTAACCTCCCTCCTAATTTCCTATTCTCATTGACCTTTCTTCAATCACCTACCTAACCCAACAACCTCCCCCAAAAATAACTCACAGTGGATGTTCTAACTTTTGTTTATGTAGCTTGAACTCCTGTCCCCAACTTGATTCTTTAGACATTCTTTTCAAGTACACCTATGGCATCTTATCTAGAGCTGTGAGTCCAATAATTATCTTGGCTCTAATTATAATGGAAATCTAAACACACTCTAAGCCAAAGCACAAACAAAAGTTAGACTTACCAAATATGACATTCTATTTGATGCTTTTTCATTAAAGTCCTTAATGATATAATTAAAAATTCAAATATTGTTTGGTGCTTACCAAGTGAGATCGATTAGGTTTTATTTTGGGGGACAATAAGCAGTAGTCTTGCATTAAGGAATTAGTATCTATTACTTTCAAACCAAGGCTTAGTTTTTCAAAGTATGAAAAAGATGGAAAATGTATTTCGTTCTTGATATTTATATTTGTTTATTGATCATCTTATTTTCATCATGGAAAAAAATTGGTTTAATCACAGATGGAAACACTGTCGCTGTGGAATGTAGTTTCCAAAAGGTGCAGCTTTGTCAAGTTCTGTCTTTACTTTGCAAACTGTCTAGATTCCAGCGGATTTCTTGGGTAAAATTCTGAGAGGTTTCATTTCTTTAATTAGGAGGTAGAGAAGGGCATTTATGAATATCCTGTCTCTCCGTGCCTCTCACAGCCCAAAACCTCTTTACCATTTTATGTTTTCCCTAAATTACAAAAGAAGAAATTATGAGGGAGTAGGTCCCACAAGACTTTCAGATTGAGGAAATGGGGGAAATCAGGAAAGCTTTAATGTAATCAAAAAGCATGTAACAAAGAACTCTACAACACACCTTAAGAGAAATTCATCCATAAGAGAAATTCTCAAATGTGCTGGGTATAGGATACTATTGGAGGGTACAAAAGGAATCAGGAAATTACCAGCTACACACATATGCTATTCATCTCTAAATTATAGTGACATTTGTTACAGTGCTTTTAGGTAAATAATATGTACTTATTTTGAAGTACATACAGTAGGTTTAGCAAAGTATACTTTCATTTCTACATAGCAATTTTTTTTACCATTTCAATGTTTTGCCTAGTTATATTCATTATCACTTCTACTATACTGCCTTGAGCATTAGTATGTACATATGTACATATCCATGTGCAAATAATAACCCCAAATGTTCAGTTTCCTGAGTGGAAAGTCCATCCCTGGGTTCCCAGATAGGCTACACCCTTCCCTTTCCTTTTCTTCCCTTCTGAAATATGTTGGCAAACAAATTAAAGCATTGTTAAAAACTTGCTCTTTAGTTTAGAGTGGTTTCCAAAGATACTTGCAAAGATGAATAATAATAATAAAAAATCTCCGGCTTCAAGCCAGTAGTGCAAAAAACACAATAGACAATGAAAAAGGAGGAGGGAAAAAATGCAATCCCTCTGGCCTATCTTTTAATTAAAAAGTATTTATAATTGCTCTTTGTGGTTGGAAAGGGTGAAACAATCTATGCCATGTTGGCCTTTTTCTGAGGTGGTATTCAGCAGGTTCTAACCAGTTCTGGAGAACCAGTAGCAGAAATTTTGAGTAGTTCGGAATACCACCTCTGACTGGCCCTGCCCCCATCTCTTCCCTGCCTCCCAAATCCCAGTTGATTGGCTGGGTCTTCTTTTGTTGCCCTGCACAGGAGAACGGAGCTGGAAAGCAGGTTACTGAGATGGGGAGAGAATGGAAATTTTATAGTAACCTTCCCCTGGAGTAAGATGGAAATGGTGATTTTACAGTATCCTTCCCCTGCCACGCCCACCAAACCATGCCACGCCCACAGAAACGGTAGTAAAAAAGCCATGCCATGCCCTCCAAGCCATGCCACGCCCACAGAACCGGTAGTAAAAAGTTTGAATCCCAACAATGGCGTTTTTAGGAATCAGGGTGAATCTTTATATTGAATGGGCAATATAACATTTCGTTTCCTGATTGGATCTGACCTGTCAGAAAACTGCCATTTGCTTGAAGGCAAACTCCACACAATGCTTTTTGCCAGGCTGCTATAACTCTGATTAGCTTCAGGTTGGAGAATCAAGATTTGAGGAAGGTATGATTCAATTTCAGTTTGTGATTTAAGATCTGGAGACAAACACATTTGATTTTGATATTTGGTTTAAAAATGCCTTCAGGGTACAATGAGGAGGGGTCATGATGCACTTAGCTGCTTCAGAATGGGATGAAAATACTAAGGATGATAGCTCTTTTTAGAGGGCATTAGCCCTGCCAGGTTTCAGCTAAATATCTTTGAGGATTTCACTATACCAAATTGTTCCTCCCTTGCTTCTTTTAAGGCAGAGGTAGAGTTGAGGAAAGGACAGCACAGCGGCCTCTGCATTTATTACAAATTGTGTTGATTGAACTGACCCAGAAACTCCAGTGTACAATATAAAAATGTCAAAAGCTGTTTTGAAAAATAAAGTTTTCCTCTTTCACTTGCTTTTCTGGGGTGCCAAGTCTTAGTATGAAACTGGATCAGTGGTGGGATTCTATGTTTCCCTACCATTAGCTGATCATGCACTTTGTGCATGCATGCACACATACACCCCTAATGCGTGTGCACGCAGCTTTCCAAATACCAGCTGAGACTCTGCCACACCAATCAGCTGAGAAGATAAAGAACAGAAAAGCGCAGGGGCAGGTGGGAGAGCAGATCCTGCACTTTTCTTTCTCCTCTCAGCTTATCATCGGAGCTTTTTTTTTACTACTGTTTTGGCCAAACCGGTAGCAATTTTTTGCTACCGGTTTGGCCGAATTGGGCAGAACCAGTAGCATTTCACCACTGAACTGGATCTCATTCACTCTTTAAGATAGCTCTGTTGCTGCTGGTAACTGAATTTTATGAGTGCGGAGAGAGTTGGGCACAGAATGGCTTCTTCAGAGAAAGATTCCTCATCTTTAATTTTGGTAGAATACCAGCTTGGACAGAGCTCAGTGACAATGCCCCCTTCTGGCTGTTTCATTGATTGCCACCTTTAAAGCCTTTCATTGGTTGGGACTAGGTTACTTAAGGGACCATCTCTTCCCAGTTGTTTCTGTCTGTCCTATCTGGTCCAGCAGAACGGGCACATCCCATCAGTTAAAGAATGTTGACTGCCAGGCTCAGAAGGTGAACTTTTTCTGTCGTGTCACCTGCCCTCTGGAACATTATCTCCCAAGATAATGGGAGGTTGGCACCGACTCTGCTGGCAATTTGTATGGATCAGAAGTGGCCCTTTGTGTTTGGGCTTTGGGCCCTGACTGTGTCAAGGGCCCCATCTCCTGCTTGTGTTAGTGATTGCTGGAAGTTTTTCAGGTGCTATGTATTTTAGTTTTATAGTTATGATTATAATTGTTTTCATTTTTATTTTAAATATTGTTTACTTCCCAGAATCATTGGCTAAAATAGGCATCGATTGTACATAAATGGATTAAATTTATAAATAAAGGAATAATCACCACTACACTTTGGAATTACTCAAATCATAATAAATATTAAGGGATTCAGGCCATCCTAACATCTAAAGATTTTAGTAGAGTGGTATTTTGGCATCTGCTCAGAAATACAAGTGAATTAATTTGGTCATATTTCAGAAAGAAATCGGGATAAAGAAATAGAATGAATAAACACAATACCATTGTAGGGTCTACAATCATTTGCCCAACCAAGGAGAAGATGAGGAAGAGGCTTTCTAAAAGTCACTTTTAGCTCTTTTAAACGGGCATGAAATAGTAGTAACAAAGTTTAGAAGAGTCAATAGTAGAGATGGTATTCAGAAGGTTCTGACCAGTTTTGGAGAACCGGTAATGGAAATTTTGAGTAGTTTGGAGAACCGGTAGCAGAAATTTTGAGTAGTTCGTAATACCACCTGATTGGCCCACCCCCATCTATTCCCTGCCTCCTGAATCCCAGCTGATTGGCTGGGTCTTCTTTTGTTGCCCAGAGGGAATGAGGTTTTACAGTATCCTTCCCCTGGAGTGGGGTAGAAATGGAGATTTTGCAGTATCCTTCCCCTGCCACGCCCACCAGGCCACGCCCACCAGGCCATACCACACCCACCAGGCCATGCCCACAGAACCAGTAGTAAAAAAATTTGGATCCCACCACTGAGTTATAAAATGGAAGGGAGCTTGAAGATCATCTAGTTCAACTCCACTAACCATTATAGGAATTCTCTGGGCTGCAGCCCTTTACTAGGCCTTGAGCTTTTCAGAACTGGGCTGCAAAAGTGGTGGGCAAACATGCCTGCATGGGAATCCCCACTTGCGTGAGCAGTGGGTAAGCATGCAATGTGCGTGTTCAATTTGTGTGAGCAGCATGTGAGCAGCGTGTGTGCCCGCCACTCATGTAAATGGAACTGCACGTGCAAATGTGCTTTGCAAATGTGCATCCCTTCTCCCCACTCCTCCTGCCAGTCCACAAAGCTGGAAAGGTTGGGGTTGCTCTATGGTACTGCAGCATCCTATGGCCATCCATCCTATATTTTAAGGGATCTCCTTAAAATACAGGCATTTTCTGAGAAGGTGGCACCCTGAACTGGATAAAATATCTTAGGTTTCATTTAATGACTGCAGACTGGAGAGGAAGGATGAATTCGCTTGCTCTTGACTCTATATTCCTACAATATAGCCAGCATTATATTTGCTATTTTTGCAGCTGTATCACACTGGGTAACAGCAGAAGAAGCTCACATTTATGTCAGTGAGTGTATGTATAAAATACACAGGCAGTCCTCATGTTGTGTTCGGAAAAGACTGAGCTGAAGTCTCCACTCCGGTCTGTGTTTCCAGCGGGAACACGGACCGTTCCTGTTGGTTGATGCTGTTTGACAGCTGCTTATAAAAGGGAGCTGTCAAATGGCATCAGCTGTTGTCCGCCAGCTGACTGCCTTGTTAGTGCGGCAGCCGTGGCAACCCTTTATTGTTACAATAAAGTAAAAAGCTGAAGTTTCCGCGTTCCCCTCAGTTATTCTGCCGCTCTACAACACTGGCAATGAGGGCAGGATATATATAAGAGGCAACCGAGCAAAGAATCGCTGAGCGAAGTCACTACAAAAAGAGCCGAAGCCACTACTGAGCTGTATGTCACTTTAAGAGCTTACTGTCACTATTTGCGAGCGCGGATTTCAACTTTCCTCCGAAGATCCGGCACCGCTGAGTTGACATGACTTCGAACCCTGCGTTCCTGCCTTTCAGACCGACAGCAGAAACATGGGAGTCCTACAGAAACCGATTTGACTGTTTCCTAGATGCCATAGACCTCGCTGACATTTCCGACCATAGGAAAAAGTCCTACTTTTTAAGTTTTTGCGGAGCCACAGTGTTTGACACTGCTACGGCATTATTGGCTCCGTGTTCAATGAAGACTGTTCCATGGGAAGAATTGCAGGAAATTGTTTCTAACTACTATTCCCCTAAGCCATCCCGAATTGCCAGGCATCATGCTTTTAGAAGACGGATTCAGGCTGAGGGAGAGACTATTAGTGGATACATGGCTGCTTTACGAACAGCTGCCTTGCACTGTGGGTTTAGAGACTATCTGGAGGACATGTTCTTTGACCAACTAGTTTGTGGAGTCAGGGATTTAAGGCTACAAAGGCGTCTATTGGCTAAAGGGGATTTAACCATAAAATTAGCAATTGAAGAGGCTAGTGATGTAAATCGCCTCAGGCAGCCCAAACCTAATCAAAGGGAAAACAGGTCAACCCCCAATCAACCTTCACGGTCTCAGCCCATTTGTCTAAGTTGTGGGGGAAACCACCTCAGGGCATCCTGCAAGTTCAGGAATGCCATTTGTCTAAAATGGCAGAGAAAGGGTCATTTAGCCAGGATCTGTCAAGCAGGAAAGACTTTTGCCCAAAAGCCTCAGACAACCCAACATTTCCAAAAACAAGTTGAAGACTGTTTCACCTGCTATCAAGCCAAGCTGACTAACCAAGGCTCTAACAAAATCAGTGTTTTTGTTTCTATAGAAGGGAAACCTTGCAGGATGGAGGTTGTCTGGCTCAGCACTGTCCATCATCTCATGGAGCACTTTGAAACAACTGCTTCCCAGAATGGCTAAGAAGAGGCTTCAAGGCTGCCAATTAACCCTACGTGACTACCAAGGCAGAACCATCCCAGTCATTGGAAAAGGCAAGTTTTTAATTCAATTTCAAAATTTTAAAGGTCACTTGCCTTTAGTGGTAATGGATGGTGCCCTCCCAAGCCTGTTGGGGTTAGACTGGTTCCCTGCCCTTGGCTTCCATATAAGCGGAATCCACTCTATTGCAAATGCTGAAGTGGACACCTTGTTTAATGACTATGCTGATGTGTTCAGCGAGGGCCTGGGCTGTTATTCGAGAACCCCAATATCTTTCAACTTGGATCCTCTGGCAGTACCAATCCATTTAAAGCCTCGAAGGGTACCTTTGCAATCCGCCCCAAACTAGACATGGAGCTTGACAAATTAATTAAACAGGGTATATTAGAGCCTGTGGACTTTGCAAAATGGGAAACCCCAGTAGTGACACCCCTGAAGAAAGATGGTAGCTTAAGAATCTGCGTGGATTACAAGAGCTCTTTGAATAAATATTTACAAATCAGCGCTTATCCAGTCCCAGTTATCCAGCACCTGCTGCATTCTTTTGAGCCAGGAACCATTTTCACGAAATTAGACATGTTACAGGCCTATCAACAGTTCCCTGTTGATGACACAGCTGCTGAACTGCAAACTATTGTAACGCACAGGGGCACTTTTAAATGTAGGCACCTCCAATTTGGCGTAAGTGTGGCCCCAGGAATTTTCCAATCATTAATGGAAAGACTACTTCAAGGATTACCTGGCGTAATTCCTTATTTCAATGACATTTTAATATCTGCCCCTGACAAGCCTCAGTTACTGCAAAGAGTCAAAGGAGTCCTCGATTGTTTCAGAAAGTATGGTCTTAAGTTAAAAAAAGAGAAATGCACTATTGCCACCCCACAGGTCGAATTTTTGGGATACAGAATTGACGCCTCTGGTATTCACCCAATCGAATCCAAAGTAAGGGCTACGCTTCATTTTTGCCACATAAGAACCTCTGCATAGACTCTTGGATAAGCAATCCTCCTGGCATTGGGGACATAAGGAAACCCATGCTTTCAATGCAGTCAAATCATTGCTTACATCCGATGCTGTTCTTATCCAATTTAACAAACGTTTACCTTTAGTTTTAGTAGCAGATGCTTCTCCTTTTGGCATAGGAGCCGTTTTAAGTCATAGACTGCCTAATGGTTCTGAGGCACCCATTGCCTTTTTCTCCAGAACATTTTCCCCAGCTGAGTGCAACTACAGCCAAATTGACAAGGAGGCTTTGGCTGCAGTTGCTTCTGTCAAAAAATTCCATGAGTTTCTATATGGACACTATTTCGAGTTGGTTACGGATCACAAGCCTCTGTTAGGCCTTCTGTCAGGCGATAGACAAACTCCTCAGATTTTGTCTCCAAGGATGACCAGGTGGACTTTATTTCTGGCTGCCTATTCCTATACACTGGTTCATTGAGCTGGTAAGAGTCTCTGCCACACTGATGCCCTTAGCCGCTGCCCCCTCCTGTTCCTGTTGAGGATCCTGCACCAACTAATGCTGTGTTCCTGATCAACAATCTCAAACTTCCCATCACCGCCCTTGATATCGCTGCCCACTCTGCCAGGGACAAGGTAATCGCCCAAGTCCTTGACTGGGTGGGAAGGGGGTGTCCTGCAGTTCCTTATGCCCCCGAATTCGTGCCCTTCAAAACTCGCCAGCAAGAATTGTCTTCTTTGCAAGGCTGTTTACTTTGGGGAACGAGGGTAGTTATCCCTTCCAAGTTGCAAGCCTCAGTTTTAAAAGTCCTGCATGAAGGGCATCCCGGCGTTGTCAGGATGAAGGCCCTAGCTCACAGTTATGTATGGTGGCTGGGCATGGATGCTCAGATTACAAGTTGGGTGAATGCTTGTCAGCCATGCCAAGCTACCAGACCTGCTCCACCAACATCCACCCTAGGCATGTGGGAAGATTCTGAGACCCCTTGGTCCCAGGTGCATATTGATCTGGCTGGCCTTTTTCATGGGCGTACATTCCTGGTGATGATTGATTCTTTTTCTAAATGGGTAGAGCTGACCTTGATGACCACCACAACTTCAGAAGCTGTCACTAAGGCTCTATCAAGGATATTCGCTACCCATGGCCTCCCTGACACCATCATGTCTGATAACAGCCCCCAGTTTACTTCCTGTGAATTTGAGGTCTTCCTAGCTAACCTGGGAATCGCTAAGTATCTTCTAACCCAGCACATGACTCCCTGTGCCACCACTAATAGGTCTCCAGCTAAACTTCTCATGGGTAGATATCTGAGGACTACTTTAGACAGACTCCATCCATATTACGCCCCAGTCATACCCCTAGGATCAAATAGCCAGACAAGGGAGTTTGCTGAGAGTGACCAGGTCTATGCCAGGAACTATGCGGGGCACCCTTTGTGGATGCCTGGGCGGATTGTGGCAGTAACCGGTCCTAAGTCTTACAGGGTCCAACTGCAAGACGGGTGCATTTGGCGCCGCCATATCAATCAACTTAGAAGGCGTTGGAGTTCGTCTGCAGATGGTCCTCAGGATGTTCCTGCGACAGAGAAGCCACCGGCACCCAAAAAAACTTCCTGTGAACCTGACAGCGATGCAAGCCTACCTGAGCAGTCATTGGTCCCTCACCCAGAGCCGCCTGAAGCTGAGACACCAGTTTTGTTGGTGCCAGAAAATGCCCGACAAGCAGAGAAGTTCCTTCCAGCAGCAGCTCCATCAGAGCCTAGAAGATCTGGCCACCTGCACAAGCGCCCAAGTTACCTAAAGGACTACGCATGCTCCGTTCTGGGGGAAAGGAGTGTTGTGTTCGGAAAAGACTGAGCTGAAGCCTCCACTTCAGTCCGTGTTTCCAGCGGGAACATGGACCGTTCCTATTGGCTGATGCCATTTGACAGCTGGCTATAAAAGGGAGCTGTCAAGCGGCATCAGCTGTTGTCCGGCAGCTGACTGCCTTTTTAGCGTGGCAGCCACGGCAACCCTTTATTGTTACAATAAAGTAAAAAGCTGAAGTTTGCTCCGCATTTGCCTCAGTTATTCCGCCACTCTACAACACCCCACTTACTGTTTGTCTCATATAGCAACCACTCAAAGTGACAATGGTGTAAAAAAAAAACCACCCAAGCTCTCTGACCAATCCTTACATTAAGGATTGTTGCAACATCCCACGGTCATCATTCCTGTGCTTTGCAACCAGGTTTCGACAAACAGATTTCATGGATAATGTAAAAATCACAGTCATGTGATGCCCCAATTAGTGACTGGAATGATTCATTTAATGACTGAATCATATGCTTTATGACCTACTGAAGTTTATGCATGTTTAAAAAAAATATTCCTACAAAGAACATATTGCCACAATATTTTGCTGGAAGAAATTTGTTTCTAAATTGCTTCTCCTCTGAAGAAAATAGGGATTTGGGGGGTATGTTTTTTTTTGTTCAAGGTAGATTTGCAGTTACATTATTTAACTTTAACAGTTGGCAGAAGGCATCTCATTTATCTTTCAGCTAAACCTTTCCCCCCCTGAAAATTCCCAGATACCCAGAGATGGAAATTGCTTTCTGATATGGCATCATTCCCAAAGCATTCTAGGAAGTGTGGCCAACAAATAACTTGAGAAAACCCTTGTGCTGCAGTAAGGGATGCAAGCTTTGAAAAAAAAGAAAAAAAAAGAATTTTCTCACTTTCTATGCCACCTTTTTTGAGACACCCAACTCTTCCAGTTTGAGAAAAGTGGTGGAGTAGTTTTGCTCTCAGTTAGAAGTATCGGCAGTGATGGTGATGGGCTTCAAAATGCTGAGCAAAACTGGGTGAATTAACCTCCTAACCAGTAGTGGGATTCAAATAATTTAACAACCGGTTTGCGATGGCCAAACCAACCCTGGGCAAACTGGTTGTTAAATTACTCTCTCCCCCCCTCACACACACACACACTATCGAAGTGGATTCTGGGTATTGCGCTGCAATGGACAAATGGGAAACAGAATGGCTGGCATGAAGGAAGGAGGAGGAGCAGGAGAAGAAAGAGGGAAAGCAGCCTTCTCCTTCCCACTCCATTGCTCGTTTCTCCATTGCAGTGCAGCACCTAGGATCCACTTTGATAGCCAGGATGTGTGTGGATAATTTAACAACTGGTTCTTATGAACCATTGTGAACCAGCTGAATCCCACCACTGCCTCACCCCATTAAGGATGCATTGCCTACATATAAAAAAGGGAGGCTTCAATTGTCCAGTTCCACGTACCATTGGGAAGTGAATGAGCAACATGGCCAACCTCCCTTCACTCAATCTTCCAAGTCTTTTTGTTGAGACTTGCTTCAAACTCCTTTTCAACAACCCAAAGAAGAAAAGAAAAATTAAGGGAGTATCACAGTTTAGACACCTTAATATAAAATAGTTATAAAAATAATATCAGTAAATGATTGAACCAGCTCAAAACAATTGTGTAAGAAGTCAAAGAAAATATAAACAAAAAGGTAAAGCTCAACTCAGCTATCGCCGTTATACTAAAGCCGATAGCATCCTTTTTCTAATAATGCTTCAGGGTCATTAGGGAATGAGTTAATTTATCTTCTTCCAGATGTTTATGTGATATTCTAGGGCATATTGTTTCTTAACACGGAAATGTTATTATAGCCATACTTAGCTAATGAGGGTTTTAATGTTGCTGAGGTTAGGGGACATCATCACATTATTACGATACACATATTATTTAAATATGGACAGGGTATATAACAGATGTCACAAACTGGTGGGCAAATTGTGTGCTGCCCAAGGGCACTGGGCAAAAATAACAACAGGCAAGTGTGTAAGCACACAGCTGCAATATTTTAAAATATCCTGTTTTTAATAGCAGGTGAGTGCACATGCAGGTGGCTAGAAAAGAACAGAATAAGAGAGTTGGAAGGGACCTTGGAGGTCTTCTAGTCCAATCACCTGCTTAGGCAGAAAACCCTACAGCATTTCAGACAAATGGTTATCCAATCTCTTCTTAGATACTTCCAGCCTTGGAGCATTCACTTCTGGAGGAAAGTTGTTCCACTGATTAATTATTCTAACTAGAATAATTTAAAAAATGTTCGGAGAAGGGTATTAAGTGGACTTTTTCATCAGAGTGAAGACATGTTGTTTTTTCCCCCATTTTCATTCTTTTGTCGTGTGATTAAAAAAATACTTATTCCTAAATGTAACTTAATCCATGGAAGGTGTGTGGAGTTAGTCTCGGCCTCAGCTGAATTGAAATGGCATAAAGATAAATTAATAAGGTTAGGTCTACTTGCACAAGTTTGCTCTGAGAGCTGATATTATGGTGAAATCTGGCACTGAATTGCAGGAGGGAGGAGTGAAGAGGCAAATCAGCATTGTGTCTTTGGTATACAGAAAGAGATCCAGAAGAAGGGATCTTCCCAGTGGTGGGATTCAATTTTTTTTTACTACCGGTTCTGTGGGCGTGGCTTGGTGGGCATGGTGTGGCTTGCTGGGAATGGCTTGGTGGCTGTGGCAGGGGAAGGATACTGTAAAACTTCAATTCCCTTCCCACTCCTAGGGGAAGGATACTGTAAAATCCCCATTCCCTCCCCACCCCACTAACCTGCTTTCCAGCTCTGTTCTCCTGTGCAGGGCAACAAAAGAAGACCCAGCTGATCAGCTGGGACTCGGGAGGCAGATAATAGATGGGGGTGGTGCCAGCAGGGGTGGTACTTGCCAATTCTCTGAACTACTCAAAATTTCTGCTACTGGTTCTCCAGAACTGGTCGGAACCTGCTGAATACCACCTCTGAATCTTCCCTAGATCTTCACAATGTTTATCTGATAGTTATACAGAATATGCATCAGTCTAGCAAGTTTCCTTTTTATAGGCGAACAGCAATAAAGAAACTATCTTGAGTAATTTATTGCATTGTTCTTGGTTCCCTGTGGCTGACAGTTATAGAATATTTGTGTTCAAAGATATTACAAGCCCAGAATGCCTGTAAGGTTCCAGTTGGGAAGTCTGTTATTTTTCTGACTTAATTCTAGGTTTCTCAGAAAGATCTGGTTGGTTGTTGTGAAAAGTAGGAATCTGGGTTTAAAGAACCTTTGGATGGACTCAGATGGATACAAGGAATGGGGAGTCAAATGAGTTAATATGGCATTCACTTAGTTCAAGTTTGAATCTTACATTGTAAAGCTTCCATTGGTAGAATAGACGCCCTTCTTTGCAGTAATGCACTTTTGCGATTGATATGTCAATGGATGGACTTCTTGATCATTTCTGCCATTCGGAGAAAAATCAGAAATAACTCTGAGAGTGACAATGCCAAATTGATTATCTGGCAATGCTAACAGGGAGGAAGAGCTGGCAAAAGAACAACGCGCCTCGCCAGGACCTGAAATCAAAGGAAGACCAAAATTATCATATTGATTTGAAATAACTAGCCAAATCTTTGATTGTTGCGAAGCTTTTTGCTTGATAAATGTTTTTAAACATCAGGCGCAGACTTCTATGCACAAACTGACCTTCCAGCTTTTTCAAGCCCGTATAAGATTCTTGGAAGCAGCAAATGCCAATCATGCCATTTCAGCTCCAGTTTTCTTTAGAGATGATGGATCTGGCAGGTGGGGATAGATTCAGTGGGTGCATCCACAAATCAATACACATAAAAATACAGTGCGCACACAGAATGACCTCACTTCTGCTGTTCACTATTGGAGGTAGGAGATCATCTGGGCCTTTTTTGATTGGGCTTTAGGTCCGGGTAGAGAATCAAAATGGCACAGATTACACTTGTGGATGACTATCTGGCAGGGCCAGGATAGCGATATATGACTCTCCTGTTTCTGCTTGTTCTCTAGGCAGTTTTCAAGACCATTGATCATGCTATCCTTTTGGGCCAACCCCAGAGGTTGGGAGGTGGAGGTGCCATCTTGCAGTGGCACTCCTCCTTTCTCCAGGTTACTTCCAGCAGAGGAGAGGTTGAGCACGAGGCTCTTGCTTTTAGGGTTCCTCGGGGCTTTTAGGGTTCCTTATACTCTCCATTTTTATTTAATATCTACACAAGGCTACCCATTATTCCTGGCAATGAAAAAATCATTCATGACAACAATAGGCCACATCAAGTGAGGCCATGGCAAAATGTCCCCACGGTATTTCCACTTGAACTTTTAAGGAGAGTAGTGTGATGGTGCACTTCATGGTTTATTTTTTTGGGGGGGATGGAGTTCTTTGTAAATGCAGGAGAGCAAGCATCACCCTCTCTTCTCCTCATCCATTTTTGCTTTACTTTGCTCTCATGAACCTGCTGGATGGTGCCCTTTGGAGCTGTCCAGGCACTGTTTATAATTGAGATGGATTTGAGGTTTTTGTTTTTATTTTCCTCCGAGACTGAGAAACTGCTGACTAGAATATAGGGCAACTCAGAGCATTTCTGATTGCATTTCCCCCCCCCTCAAAGATGGAAATATTTTTATATCTACGTGGGTGGTTCTTGCTTGGTGCTCAGGCAGACAGCTCCATATGTGCCTGTCACACCTTGGCACCCTTGGATATTAATTGGGGCGGTGGGGGGAACACAATAAATAAACACAATTTGAAGTAGAAATAGAAAACTGCAGAAAAATATTTACCCTTCCCACTTCACATGGAACTTTTAAAAAGAAATAAAACACATCAAGGTGATGAATGGCTATATTTAGATTGATTTATGTAACTGCTCTTTTGGACTTGGATAGTTAACAGATAACAGATAATCAGAGTTGGAAGGGATGTTGTAGGTCATCTAGTCCAACCCCCCACCCAAGTGGGAGACCCTACACCATTTCTGACAAATGGCAGTCCAATCTCTTCTTGAAAGTCTCAAGTGATGGCACTCTCGCAACTTGAGGGCAAGCTGTTGGCATTGGTTGATTGTTCTCACTGTCAGAAAGTTTCTCCTTATTTCCAGGTTGAATCTCTCCTTGTTCAGTTTCTATCCATTATTTCTTGTCTGGCCTTTGGGTGCTTTAGAAAATAGCTTGACCCCTTCCTCCCTGTGGCAGCCCCTCAAATATTGGAACACTGCTATCATGTCTCCTCATATCTCCTAGTGACCTCACGCCTCTTCCTTCAGCCCCATACATTCAATATCATCTCCCTCCTAAATAAGGCTGTGTCTCTGCTTTAAATATGTGAAGTCAGGAGCATCTGAGTTTGTCTGTGTGTCTAATTCCAAAAAGCAAGATGGCAGCCGTGATGTACATAAAAAAGAAGCGAAACTTTGATTATGCATCTTGGTTCTTTTTGATACTCCCACCCTCACCCAGAAAATATCCCTGCGCAAAGTACAAGAAGAGCTCTTCCAAACACGCACAAAGAATTTTTTTTTTTTTTGGTCCATCACTGCATCACGGCAGCTTGCTCATCCAGATTTAGAAGAAGCAAAAAAAAAAAAGTGGGGTTTCTGTTCAGGCTTCTGGTAAGGTTGATTTATGGCACCTTTCTTTTTACAAATCTGCTTTAATAACAAGATCTGAAGAGCGTAGAGTGTGAAACAGTTCTCCTGTAAAAACTGTCATCCATTTCTTAAAGTAGCTGAGCTGCGTGATTCTGGGAATAGGCATGTTTGGTTTAAAGGTTGGTTGCCAGTTATTGTACATGCAAAGTCTGAAAGACATTTTCTCCTTGAACATTTTCTCTTTGAAACCTAAAGCATAGCCTAGGGCCTTACTTGATAATACCTGGAAAACATAGTTCCCAATCAGCTGATGCGACCTAATAGGGATTAGGTTGTTGGATTAGGAGCAGAGAAACTCACTTCAAGTCTTCCCTCAGCCTGGGAAGGAAATTTACAAAGTGACTTTGGGCCAATAATTTGGGTCAACTTGATTAACCTCATTGGATTTTTGGTTGAAAAAAAATGAAGAAAGGTTTGTTGTGTCTATTGCCTTGAGCTGCTGGA